ACCTAAAAACAGGAGTAAGAAATAACAAAAACACAGTAAATTAATCATTTTGGTATTTAGATTTAATGTTATCGGGTTAGTGTTGTTTGTTTATATTTATTTATAATTTATAACATGCACAAAATAAAAAAATTAATATTAGTCACATGTATTCACAATTTATAATTACAAATATCAGCACACGTACACACCTATTCGTTCGAGAATCGCCGCACACATCTGAGGGTCTGACCCTGCCTATTCTTTTTAAGCTCTTGTCTTTGCACTTTCTCTTTCCTCTATCTCTCTAGTCCACGTATGCATACGTCATAATACGCACTCACGATACATTCAATTCATCACTTTTGCATCGTAAAGTTCCCATTTTACAATTACGCGACAGCCTGGTGATAACAGAGAAAAGAGACAGATAGGATGTTGATATAAGTCACAGTTATGATTTCACAGATTCGAGACAGCTTGTTTGCCCAAACGGTCCCAGGCTTTCGCCCGTGCACGCTAAGTGACTTTCATTACAAGCATTTAGCTTTCCGAAGTTTATGACAATGATTGTTTGGCATTGACAGCTGTGAATTTCGCACCAGTAAGTTGCCTGACTTTGTTTCATTATGTTATCAACTCAATTTCATATTTATTTTCACATTTTCACTTCGCAGTTCTTCTTTGTTTTTTTTCCGTTATTTACACGTGTAGTTCATTTCATTGTTATTCATATTTGATATCATTTATCACATACTGCCATGACGCTCTTGTCTGTCCGTTACAACTGTCAAGAATTAATGCGATTGGCGAAGCGTAGTGACAGCGGGCCAATAGAGAGCAGGTCCTTGCCATAATGCGCTTTGCGCACCAATTTGCGTAAGTGCGTTAATCAAGCTGGATAGTTTGGCCGAATATTCGGTATTCGGCCTGAGGCCAAATATACTATTTGTTGCAACACTAATTACCATGCAATGCCCCCTACCTAGTTGGCACCCTCCAAAAGCAGTAACAGTCATATGGGATATCAATCAGTGGCAAATCAAATGTGGAGAAGATGCTCTATCTACCTTAGGTTAGTTTTACAGCACAGTATGTCCATTAGCATGTTTGAATGCTTGCCACAGCAAATGGTATGAAGGATGTGCATTGAAAAAAAAGATTGGAATATTGGTTTTTAAAATGAACCAATTTTGATATATCAGGAACATTCTGATATGCTGATATATCAGATTGGTATAGGTTACATCTCTAATTAAAATTTCATATTTAGAAATAGAAGATCTAAATAATTAAAAATATACGAAAAACTCATTAATAAAATTTTAATAAAAATGCCAATTTAATTACATTCTTAATTTCAAGTAATTTGGATTTTTTACAGCTAAATTGTCTGAAATACAAAATTTTACTTATATTAATAATACATTATCTAAAGTTTTAGAGATATCATGAAAGCTTTATACTTCAATTTTACCATTATAAATAGTACATAAATACACATCAAAAGTCATTAGCAGCTTCATATATGGTTTGCTCAGTTGACAGATTAAAAATATAGTTAACAAAGATCTTTAGTTTGAATCTGTCATCTAGTAATTGTCTTTTTTTATCTACATTAATTTATCAATTTAAAATCATTATTTTATCTTGTGTTAAATAATCAAAAATAATATTCAGAAAGTTGCAAATAAGTAGTTAATAATATTTTTATTAATGAATGAAGACAATGCATTGTCTAAGTCACATGTAACTTAATTTCTATTGGAAATGCAAATATTTTCAAATTATGAAAAACTGTTTTAAAATATAGTTTGCAACTTATATTTTTACAATTTTACAAGTAATTGAAACTTAAACTTATAGAAAAGCACATCTGCTATAATAACAGAAATTGGATTATAGCAGTATTTAATTTTATTATTTAACTTTTTTCATTTACATTAAATTTTAAGTTTGATTTCTTGTACTGAAATTACTTGTCAGAATTGCTAAGTTGCAAAATGAAGTTGAAATAGAATTGAATTACACAAATAAAGCAATGAATCAATAAATTTTAAAAATAGTATAATATAAAATGTTAATAAATTAGACAGACCACTCCCAAAAAATTCCTGAGATTTTTTTTTAATCCTAAAACATTCAATTCTGGGTCTCCCATAGTGATATATTAAGACCTTTACGGCCATTCAACCACTAAGTTGAAAATTATTATGAAGTTACTTTATAAAAGTAATTATACATAGTTTATGATATGAATTATTATATCTGACTTCCTTATAAAATGTTTTGAAGTTACTAGTTGTTCTGCTCAGTTGTGAATGATTATTATTTTTGTTTTCTTTATGTTGAAATTGTAATAGCAAATTATATTAACTTAGATCTAAGTATTTAAGTTAAATTATATTAACTGAAATAGTTAATTTAATATTTGAATTATAAATAATTGTTTCGTGTTTTATAATCTGTATAAGTTTAGCTATATAATTATTTCAAAGAATGGTTATTTTCATTAAAAATTATATATTTTTATTTAAGGTCTTGGTTGTTCATTCTACATCAAATAGTTCCTATCCTACTCCGTGTAGAAGCAGTTTAAGTTCACCATTTCATATGTATAAATCTCCTAATGATACTCCACAAGGATCACAATCTCCTAATTTGACTACCATTTCACAGTCATTAATGAAAACTTTCAGAAATTCTCTATCATTTTCAGTAAGTTTTTTAATATTATTTAAATATTTGATTTTTTTTTAATCAGTCAATCAATCAATGCATTATTCAAGACAGAAGGTTTTTCCAGTTACAGAGGAATACATAAATAAATCAATTGTATTATTTATAATTATTTTCATAAAAAAGGTAAATATTTTATACATAAACATTTTAGTATGATTTTTAAACCTATTATAAAAGTTTATTTAGTAAATTCACAATTTTTAAAGTTTCATTTAATTTTAAAGATTTCTAGTAAACTCAACTTTTTACATTATCAAAATTATTGTAAATAAATGATATTCAGACATTTGATAAAATAAGCAAAAATATTGTTGGCCAAATTAAATAATTGCTTCACTTTTAAATATCAGGTGTCATATATTAAAAAAATTTGCTTGATATCAAATTTTCTCACAAAAATTGTTTTACACATTTGTAACATTATGTTTTAGACAGAACTTTTAGAAACAAAGATAAAAAATATTTATTATAATATATATAATAGAAAAAAGGAGAATATTATCTCCCCTTCCTGACATACAAAACAAACTTAGCAGAAAAATAAAAGAGAATGCATGAGATCAATATAGGCAATACAAACCTCAAATTTAAAAGATAAAAGGAATTAAGATTGAGAAATATGGAAAAATAAACATTGAAAGGTAAGAATTAAATTTGAAATATTGTAATAGAAATGACTGTTCTGAACATGAACTGAAAGATTTGAAAGTGCTTACAAAAAATATTCAAGTTTGGAAAACGTTTTGAAAAGTTTGGAAGCTGATTAATAGTTTGTTATTAATTATTAATAATTATTGTGTTTTAAATACAACTCTTAAACTGTTACAAAAATTTTTATTAATTGTATTTTGATATCAATACTAAAAGTAATTAATTAATAAATGAATAACTTTTTTGTAACTGAACACTATTGATGAAACTGGATATTTTACAAGAAATTTAACTTTATTGAAAAAACAAATTATTAAAATATTTATTGTAAAACTTAAAAATCCATGTATGAACAATACTTAAAAAAAAAGTTTTAATTGAAAACTAAATACAAACAAAATTTGCTGTTTTCTCTTATACTTTTCAACCATAAAAATACAATATACTGACAGAATCAACCTTTCCTTTTTTTTTTTTAATTTATATTACCTTTAAATTGTTTTAATTCAATACTGTGTAAAGAAAAAACTTAATACATCTACTACAGGATTGAATTTATTATGTTTTATGTGAGTGAATGTGTGGATAACAAATGAGGAGATATGAAAAAAGAAAACTAAGTTAAATTTTGATGTTTTCAGGAATTCTCAAAAAACTATATTTTTTGCATGAGGTTTGTTATGAAATGAGTAAAGTGTACAGTAAATGTAAAGTGTGTATTATAGCAAAGCGAATATCCATATCCATAAAACCGTATTTGATAAGTATAATAAAATACTTAATTGAAAAGGTATCTAAGTGTATTAAGATATCTTATTCTATGGAATCATCCTCAATTGTAATCCATTCTCAAATTTCAATATATATGTAATTTACATTATTTTTAAAATTTTATATGAATAATATATATATATATATATATATATATATATATATATCATAAAAATTATTATATACAGTGGAATCTTCTTATTATGATCATTTTGGAGCATGCTACAATGATATGTAATAATNAAGAAAAAAGTTACATAAAAGTTACAATAAAAGTTACATTTAATTCATGAAAATTTGCCAGTTGATTGCTAATACTAGATCTATAGCTAACCAAAGAAGTTGAAATGTGAACAGTTCTGAAAGAATTGCATTTTCAGCCCCTCAATCAAAAAATGATTTATGAAAGAAATATGATAAATTACCTACATTGATCAACATGACCACTTCAGAGTTAATGAATTTAAGTTCCTTAAGCAATTTTGAATTAATTTATCTAAAATAGTTGGATAAATTTTCCATTTTATTAAAATTTTTTGAAATTTATTTATATTAATTAGTTATGTTTGATTGGTTATAAACTAAGATTTTGCTTGATAAATTTATATGCTATAAATTTTATTTAAAAGTAATTTGAATATTAAAATTAAGTCTCCAATGCTGTATATACTAAACCATTAAAATGCATTAGACTGAGATAAAGCTTAATTGCTGTACTTCTGAAACATTTAATAAGGTTTCCTATTTTTTAATTCTTACTAGTATAGATAATTTATGCTAATTTACATTTTTTATATATTATTTTATATTTTATATTTTTTTAATTTACATTTTACTCAGCCGGTAGGTTCCATTGTCAATGTAATTTACTTAATGTAATTTCCAAAACATAATTTATACTAATGTTTCTTTTTTATTATTTCAAATATAAAAATTATATTAAAATTGCACTTATCAACTAATTTTTAATTTTTTGAGGAAATTTTGGAATGTATAAATAAAATTATTATTAGATTGATGAAATTATTAAATGCATTTTAATTTATCATATGTTTCATATTGCAGCAAAATAATATAGATGAACAAGAAGGAAGAAAAGAACAGTGGATTCAAGAGATTGGTAAATTTCTAAACAGTTTTGTTTTATATATTCATTTTAATTAAATAAAAATATTAAAAAATAAAACGGCTGCTAAATTTAAAATTTTCAATTTAATTCATTCTATTTTTAATATTGACATAAGATAGCACATATAGTAATTTTAATTAAAGACATAAATTAATTAAATCTGAAAATATCATTTATAAAGATGATTTATTAACAGAAGACAATATATAATTTACAAAATCATCACAAAATTAAATCTGAAAATATTTTGTTTTGTATGAATATCTAAATAAAAGTCAAACTTAACATATAGAATTCTTTCATATAAACAGCAAATTTATGATAATTAGAAATTGACTATTGACGAAAGAATGCAATTTGGAAATCATTATCTAATGTAATTTTTTTGAAAATTATTAATATATTTAATAATTTGAATTTAAGTACTTAAATTCTTTTAATAAAAATGCACTTTTTTTAAAGAAATAAATTCCTAAGTGATTCTTTTTATACAGTTATACACTGAATATTGTTTACATACTATATTTTTATATTACATAAACTTTCAGTTTTACATTTTTCTGTCAGTCTCATAGTAATAGAAATCCTGCAATTTTTGCTTTACTATAAAAACCTCATTGCAACTTCTTTTCCTCTCCTTTGCTATTATTTTTCAATTGGTAAACAATCCAAAGGTGAAAAGCAGCTAATGAGTTGCAAGAATACTAATCTCAACAAGTGCTACAAGTTGTCATAGACACAGGTAACCTGAATGACTGAGACTTAAGTTGTCAGCTTACTACTATGGTGGATTTGGAAAGAGTGAAAAAAAAATATACGCAGGTGTGAGGACAGTCTGGAAAAAACAGTGGGAGATTATCAATGCTGTTTTAGAAAACACAAATCAATTATAGATCAGATTTCTACACTAAGACTGATTCTAGAGAAATGCTAAGAATATAATATTGAGATAACCAACTTTTTATCGATTACAAAAAAGCTTATGATAGTATAAGAAGAGAGAAAGTTTGGGAGAGTCTTCAAGAATTGGGAATTCCTCAAAAACTTATAAATCTCACAAAGTTAACTTTAGGAAAGACTGAGGGTATGGTTAAGATCAGGGGATATATTTCAAGAACATTTGCAATAAAGAAAGGGCTTAACCAGGGAGATGCACTTTCTACAGTTTTATTTAACTTGGTATTAGAAGTGGTAATGAGAAAAGTATATAAAGAAATAGATGTGGATGCAGGTGGAACAGTTTTCAATAAACATTTACAATGCTTAGCATTTGCCAATGATATTGTTATATTGGGAAGATCTAAAGAAGTAATTGAGGAGACATTTAAAATAATGGATGATGCAGCTATAAATAAAGGCTTAGCAGTTAACAATGAAAAAACAAAATATATGAAGTTAACAAGGAAAGAATGTCAGTGGTCAAGGGGACAAATTCTATAAATAAAGGACCATAAATTTGAAAGTGAATAAATTTCAATACTTAGGAACACAGTTAACAGAAAAGAATGAAATTGATCAGGAAATAAAGGTAAGAATGACAGTGGGAAATAAAAGCTATTATACATTAAGAAGAATTATAACATCTAAAAAAATATCAAAATGCAGTAAGATTAGAATATATAAAACTATTATAAGACCTGTAATCATGTATGGTTCTGAAACTTGGACACTGACAACAAAACATGAAGAACAGTTGAGAAGGTTTGAAAGGAAAATTCTGAGAAGAATATATGGACCAGTGCAGGATAGAAGAGAGTGGAGAATTAGAAGTAATAAAGAACTTGAAGATTTATATGAAAATCCTGATATTGTAACAGAAATTAAAAGAGGGAGATTTTGTTGGGTTGGGCATTTAGAACGGATGGAACCTGAGAGAAAACTCTATCAGGTGTACAGAGAAAGGCCAGAGGGAAGAAGACCAAGAGGGAGACCAAGAAAGAGATGGGAGGAGGATGTGGAGGATGATTTGAGAAAGATGGGTGTGAGTTGTTGGAAAGGAAAAACCCAAGATAGAGAGGAATGGTTGAAAATCCTGGATGAGGCCAAGGTCTTTCAGTTACTATGAGTGCCAAAGAGAGAGAGAGTGAGGACAGCCAGTTTTGCTTCTTATTTTGTTATTTATTTTATTCTTCACTTAAGGTGCAATGGTAAGATCGCATCAAGAGACATCTTGGAGAGAAAAAAAATGTTACTAGAATCCTAGTTAGTTTTCTCCAGTATAGGAAACCAAACATAGGAAGGCTATGATTTGATTTGGAGGCATAAATTAAATTGAATTTAGAGCTAAACTATATTTATTTACATGAAATAAGTAATATATACAGTAGACCCCCTATAACATGGGTTCCAATAACATAGATTCCTATGACGCGGCAAAAAAATTGCGGCAGTATTCGTATAACGGGGTGCGTAAAACGTGGTAAAACGTCATTGCCAACTCATCATTGCGGACGAGCAGCAGAACTATTTTCCGCCGTCTAGCACCACGCTACGGAGAGTTTAGGCGGGTAAGTTGAGTTTAACTATCATCTGTACAGTATTATATATAAATTAGGTACTGTACATATAATTATATATTAATTATATATAAATTAGGTACTGTATATATAATTATATATTAACTTATTGTAACTTTGTTATAATTAAATATATAATTTCCACCGTCTAGCGTGGCACCACGCTACGGAGATTTTTAGGCTAACTATCGTCTGTACAGTATGTAAATTAGGTACCGTAAGTCTAATACAGTACTGTAATTTTATACATTTCTTGTGAAAGAAACATTTCTTATTCAACGGCGATAAAAATTATTTATATTAATGATGTCTCCAAAGTTCAGCGAAGTTTTTGCAGAAAAATAACATCAGAAATCACGGGCACGGTTTGCTGAGCTGTTCCACGATGAAAACAATCTTGAGCAACGCTGATGTCGAATGGTGCACACTCGGTAAGTAATCCTACAATTTTTTGTTTATAGCGTAGTTTATACGGATTATTTCCAAAAAAAATATACGTATTTTGGAAATGTTAAGTCAAATTAGCCTAGAATCGATTAATTTTATGGAAGAAAACCTTTCAAACAGCCGTAGTCCGTAAACTTCACACGTGTCAAATACGTGAGCCAATCACAGCCCAAGGATTCCAACAACGCGAAATTCGTATAACGAGGAACGTATCTTTGCGTTATAGGGTGGTCTACTGTATATATATATATTGATATGATATTGAATTTTGCTGATGTGTTCCAATAGTGATAATTTTCTGATTTGATATGATATTTGCTTCTATCCATACTCTACAGGTGTTGGTAATAAATGAATGCCTGAAAGCTCATTGGTTTAGAGAATATTTTACTTGGTTCACTAAACATTTAAATTCAAATATAAAGAAATAAAAGTTTACAAATCAATTTACAGGTTCCTTTCAGATCTGAGCCCTATGCAATTACAATTATTTAGTTTGCCTAAAAGCTTATAGAATTATAGGACTCTGGCTCTATTTTTAAGAAAAAATTTGAACACACTTCGAATAAATTTATAATAGTATAGGAAAATTGCCAGAATGGAAAAAAAAATTATTGCCAAATCATGGCAATAATTTGGCTTGAAATAATGCCACATCTGATGATAAATTACCAGATCTGGCAACAGTGCTTGCACCCTGCCCATCTATCTCTATATAGTGCCCTACCAAGTTGATGCCCTCCAAAAGTGACAACAACTGTGTCATATGTCCCAAGGTGAAAAATTATATGCAGAGAGGAGACTATAGGTTAGTTTTACAGCATACAGTATGTCTACTGATGTGTTTGACAAAGTAATATGAAGGATATAAAGGATGCATATTGAACAAAAAAGATCAGAGTATTGGATTGTAAAACAAACCAATTTTGATAAATTAGGAACATTCTGATAAATTAATGTATTGGTATTGGATTATTATAGATCATATCTCTAATATATGTATGTATAAAATCAAAATAATTCAAGTATTTATATTTACTTTATAAATTTTTAAAATCATTTTAATATTTTAGGAGGAGAGAAACATATAATTGAAGAGAATAAACATTTTTTACCCAGATCATTGGACATTTCTTCAATGGATGATCAAAAGACAATAAATACACATAATTCAACAAATCAATACATTGAAGATCATATAAATCCAAATGAAGAACGGTAAGTAATTTTTGTGCTGTCATGAATAGAAACTGTTGTCATCTCATCACTTCAGTAATTTCAAATAGTCATTAACAGAAGTTAATTATTACACAAATGGAAAATAATAATATTTCTTTCAACAGAAAAATGTTAATTCATCAATATCTTCGAAAGCTTAAAAATATTTTGTATTTGTATAATAAATAATTTTAGTTGAGAGTTATTTGAAGTTATTTAGTTATTAAAAAAGAAACTCTGTTTAATTTATAAATATTACAGATAAAATGCAGATATTTTTAAAAATTCATGTGTGTGTTTTACTTAACATAGAAATAAGTTTTAATGGTTGTTTAATTTTATATATGTATATATGTATATTTTCCTTGATACATCATGTAAGGGTGATCACAATTAAAGAGTAGGTAGGTGTTCAGATCTCTGTAAATAGAATTATTGTGCAGATTTCAACCAAATTTAGTATAGATACAATTCCAGGTATGCAGTTTTACTTTTATGGAAAAATCTTATTTTAAAATTCAGCCACTAGGAAGAAATTTGGCACTACTGTTCCCTTAACATGCATATTACATATGTTTACTAAAGAATTTTGGGTATAAAAGGAGTTGTAAAATGTTGTTCACAATCAGTAAGATAGAAAAATTAAATATGTTGACTTTATTTTCAAAAATGTTTAACAAACTACTTTGTTGGAATAAACCAAAAATACAATGGAGTTTCAAATATTTTGAATATTTGTTGATGATAACTTGAAAAACCAAAATATTTAATTATATTTTGGTTTTTCTTTATATTATACTTATATTTGGTTATTCTTTATATTTTTGTTTTATTCCAATAAAACTGGCTGAAAGAGAAAAATTTTTTCAATAAAAAATATGTTATAAATGTAATTTACTTAATAAAAATAATATATAGGTAGGCCTCCTACAACGTGGTAGATACGTTCCTTGAAAATACCGCGTTGCAGGAAATCGCGTTATAAGAGACACCAACTTAATACAAAAACTGGGATTCGGTTCTAAAAAGAGAAAAACTTGCCATTTAAATGGCGTTTTTTGAATTTTTCAAACCAGCCATTGCTAGCCACGAATTTAACACTGGTTTCATCAGCCGACGACTGTCCCATTTGTTTTAAATAATCAAATATTTTTAAGGCTTTGTGTTTAACTGCACTTTTATTTAAAGGCAACCGTTTCTTGTTTATGTCTTCTACCCATAATATTAGTGCTTGTTCCATTTGTTTTTTCATTATAGGTGCTCACAGACGAGCAACATTTTTCGCAAGAACAGTTGATCCGGATACGACTGAATTCCTAATCTTTTCTTCCTATTGCTTAATCGACCGAATAGTTGACTCATTTAAATTTAAATGCCTATCAATATCAGCTATCTGCTCTTGATTTTTAATTCGATCCAAAATTTCTATCTTTGTTTGAAGAGATATATTAATAAATTTCCTTATTACGACGGTCCTTTCTTTTCATTCGACATTGTTATGGCTAAAATTTTTTCAAGTAGTTTTGTGGACAGTAAAAATTGCAAAAAATAACTTCCCTTCACTATGTTATTAAAAATATACACCCAATAGAAGTTTATACTGTATTTTGGACCATTTTTGCGGTCCCCACTTATTGAAAGAGTATAAATTATCGAAAATTCAGAGATATATTTGAGTGTTTATGGTAACTGATGCACATCTGTCTAGAAACTGTTCTTCCCCTGAAACTTTCATGGGAATAATACGTCAACATGGACAAACAGCTGTTTTCAAGGACATTTAGCTCTGTACACCGAACTGTGGCACGTATTAAGTGATCTGTTGAGATTTTTCTGTTATGTGAAAGATAATTTGTTTCTAAATACCATAAACTGCGTTGTAAAAGTACCGTGTTGTAAAAAAATTTCCGCATTTTTCCAACCGCATTGGAGTGAAAACACGTTGTAGGAGGCCTACCTGTACTTTTGTTATCTGATAAATAAAATGGAAATTTGACAAATTTGTCGGTTTGTTTTATAGCAGTGTTTCATCTTTGCCAAGGCCATTGTAGATATATTTGTGTTCAGATTGGTGATGTTTTGTCTTCTTTTTCTCTCAATGTTTTTGAGAAATTTATCTTTTTTTATTCACAGACTTTCATATGAATTCATTCTATCGTTTTGTAAAAAAATATTTGCTAAGGCCCACCAATCTCTTTCAAATGATCATAAAAGTTAAATTTAATTTATTGTTTCTGATGTAAAACCTAACAATGTGTGAATATTTTGAAATTACTTATAAAATATTACTAATTTTATTTCATATTTACTTTGTGTTTCTTTAAAATATAATTGGAAAAAACTGAACCTAGTAGTCAATACACACAAAATAGTTATATTCAAAATTTTCCCCCTCCATATTTTTTTTTTAAACTGTTGTCTTACATTTAATCAATTTCTGAGTAGAGTAATCTTTGATTCTAAGTTCACTTTTTTATTAAAATATTTAAAAAATTAAAAGATTAGCAATTTGTTGCAGGATGCTTTAGTGATTCTGAAGTCCAGTTCCTTCAAAGTCTGATTTTTTATTATTATTATGTTGGGTTTTGTGAGTTATACTCGGTTCACACCGGTGGCTGTGTACTATGCCGGACCAGAGTCAAGGCATAGCAACCAAAACAAAACTTATTATTATTATTACTAATTTTGTATGTAATTAATTATTGTCTCCTGTTTTGGTCTTCTGCTGCTCTGTACCTGATAAATGTAGTAAATAATGAACTTAACAAACTTGTTAATTTACCTTTCATTAATTATGCCATTGTAGCTCAAACTAGATTGAGGTTTTTTAATTTTACACAATTGTGTATCTTATTTCAATAAAATTTCATATTCTAAGTTTTTAAATTGTTTTTCAACTGATAATGTTGGTCTTTTTAATGAAGATTCCTGCTTTATTAAAAATTTTTCAACAAAGCATTAATATTCTACAGGCATACCTCACCTTTTTCGTCGGTCATTTGTTCCAGGAGATGTGATTTAAGTCAAATTTACTTGTCTCCGAATTTACTTGTTACTAGGCTAAACCACAAATAACTATTCCCAGTTCTGTATCTTATTTATAAATGCATTTTTAATAATATATGGTTAATAAGAATCTATTTTAAGTTTACAAACAAATAAATTTGTTTTTAATATAGTATAGTAAAAAAGTAATCTTTACGAATACACATATGTACATACTAGTAAATGTACATGTTTACAATTTGACAATGGTTATAGGACATCGCTTTATTTGTGAATGTGTTTGCTCTAAGACGTTATAAAATAAGATGATTTTGTAAGGTTAAATAACAAGTATAGTTATTAAAGTTATTTTGCAATAGTAAAAAATAAACTAATTTATGCTAAATTTACCAATATCGAGTGGCACTAACAATGATGCCAAATGGTAGATATTGAAACTACTGTGGAAACCGCCAATATTGAGCTCTTAAAGACCACTAAATAAGACAACACAGAGTTACAGATGTTTTCATTTTCATATTTTGTTCTTTAAGATTTATGATGATTATATTAACATTTACTGTAAGTGTATGTATTATAATATGATTTTGTGCTTTTAATACTTTTCTAGTGATATTACGACTTCAATATTTGTCAATTATGACAGATGTAAAGTCGATTTTTATTTTTTCATATATTTTTTTTTGACAAATGATGTATAATTGAGAACGACTTAACTCAAAATGACATAACCCGAGGTACACTTGTATTTAAAAACAAACAAGTTTTCTTAATTCAAATTATCCATGTAATCCATGTTAAAACCATTAAAGAAAAATGCATTTTGAATGTTTCTCCAAAGTTCTTAGAACATTCCTCTTCAGTTTTCCAGTGTATTACCAGATGGTTTTAACATGAGCTACATGGATAATTTTAACTAAGAAAACTTGTTTGTTTATTAAATAGAAGATTCTCACTTCGATGAAATATTTTTAATAAATAAACTCAAGTATAATTGAGAGTGTAATATTATTTATCTATATTATTGCTATAATTTATCTATAATTTATTGCTATATTTATTTATTTTCAATTACAATAGGAAAAGTCTTGTGACAATAGATTTCCTCCCCTAATTAACTGTAAAACCCCTATTAAAATACAAGTATTTCTCGTACAACACTACTTTTATAACACAGTTTTGCTCTAATGCAATTTTTGAAAATTGGGGATATCGCCTTACAACATGACTTACGGTTTTGCTCTAACAAGGTTTTTGAAATCCTCTGTACAAAATTTTACAATTTTTAAGTGTAAATTTCATTACTTGATATTTTGTTTTAATTCAAGTAAGCATGTGTTGTCTCAAATTTGCCCATAGATTTTAGAATATTGAAATTTTCAAATTATTTTGTGCTTTTCTTCAGATTTACTTTAATGAAAACTTTGGACAAAAAAGAAAAAAATGCACTAGCCTTTCTATCAACCAGGTGTCATTGTTGTTGCTTTCAGAGTAGCCTGTCACTATCTTTTCTTTTTATAGATTAATCTTTGTATTTAGTAAAGTTTATTTAAACATTTTTAGATAAGTGGTATTAAACTTTTTTAACTGTAGTTATTACATATCTACGAATGATTACTTCATTTGTAAAAATGATGAGTGAAATATGGCAGTATCTCAAAACTCGAACAATTTTGTATTCAAATACAGTAGCGTGTCATCATTGGAAGCGGTGGAAGTGCCATTTCCCTTGTATTTTCTAAAAAATAAATACATATTAATTTTAATTATATGAAAATAATCGTACAATATTTTATTATAACTGCATTATGTATCTTATTACAAATTTCTGTACTACACGTGAAAAAAAAGATAAGATTGCTATTGTATATTCGAATATTACTGTAGTGGCAGAGTGGAAGCACTGTATTGTCAGCTTCCAAACAGCCAGATTCGCACATGCGCTTTACAGAGCACCAACCTCACTCGGTTTAGCTGGTGGAAGCCTAGGACCT